TTTTTTTTTTTTTTTTTTTTTTTTTTGTTTATTCGTTATCTGAACGTGAAGAGTTTCCCTCTGTTTCTTGGAAAACGTCGGATATCTTCCATTTTCAACTGCTTTCTTCCTTCACTTTAATACGGTTCGATATCGGGATAATACGTTCACTTTGGATAAAAATATCGACAATTGTACAATGATACAGAATGAAACTCAGCGACAGAAAAAAAACAGCGAGAAACTCTGAATTTTCTCAAATTGCTGTATCATGTCGGAAAATGTAATATACTAAATTTAGGAGCATCGCATGATTCAAAGATAACGCATACTATTGTCCAAGTACAACATTTAAACGATTACACATCGTCAAACATTCAACTGTCTTTGGAGAAACATTTAACAGATATTATGTCATCCTGTTTCATTATCATTTGTAGTCAACATTTTCTGTTTTACACAAATAAATGATTCTTTTTCCTAATATAAAACGATAGTGACATTTAAAATATATACATATATATGTATATATTTGTATCTAAACCGAACAGAAAAAAGTGCTAATGCATTCGACAAACATCAAAACTCTCACTGTCAGATACATAGAAGAATAGTTCATACAGTGCAAAACTGGACATGCGCTCTATTCGGTGTAATGTGCTGTTCGATTTGCCGCTACACAGTTAAAGTGCATAGTGTTCCACAGCGTCTACGTATTTGCATATATATCCGTGTTATTTGTAAAATCATCATTTTCATTTTCAACGAATTGCTATTTGATTTGAATACGAATTTGTTGAATCAGTTTAACTCTAACGTTTAAATATAATCCAATTCACGACGATAGCAATTTCTTGCTAGCTGTTTATACCTCGTATCTGTTGAATCATTGCAAATGATAGTTACATTCGAAAAGAAAATATTCTCCTTTTTCAAACGCGAGAAACATGCTCGTTTGATTATCGACAATAACAATCATGCCATAATGTCATGTCACATTTAAAACGTTAAAACGAAAATTTAATTTTCTTGTTGAACATCGATCAGAAAGTATGACAACAGATATCTGACATGTAAGAGTTTTGAAGTAATAATTTGATATTCTCATTCTTTTTCTTTTTTTTTTTTTTAACAAACATTAATGTTTCTTGAGAAAAATTTGTCAGGGATAGTACATGTATATTTCGAAATTGAACATGCGTGTACATATTAACGTTAATATTGATCTCAAGAATTTACAAAGTTCTTTTTTTAGATCCCTGTAAAAAATAGCACCTGTACAACTTGTAATTGCCAGATCATGTTTCTGTCTGCTTTAATTAACAGAAAGTGTAATCTCACACTTTTAACATTTAAATCGATTAGGTCCTATAATAAAAACAATGCTCCTGGATAATATAGTATTAACTATCTTACTTAGTCACTTATTAAATGACTGTCTTGCATCACTATAGTGTAAGAAATTGTTGAACTAGACGTATATCATACCTGAAGGGCTACCTGGTCTTAAACTAGCACCATTAGTTTGTATCGTTTGGACTGGACTTGGTGGTCGTTGTGATATTGGCGGTTCCAATATATCACGGTACTTTGATACCATAAGTACAGAGATGAAGTAAACTATAGCGAGGGACAGAAACTGGGCCTGCTTGGTTTCTTCCTGAAATGGAGAGAAAAAAAGAAATGCTTTAGAAGAGACAACTGTCTCTCTCGCGTGTTTTCCTAAAGTTTCGAAAATTTTCTAATTTAATTTCCCTCCAACTCGAATTTTCGAAGTTAATTTTTCAATCCTCGGAACTCGAATCCGAAATTTCGTAAAATTTCGAAAATTTTCTGCTGGTTTTATTTTGCAAGAGGAACTCTGTTTTAGGAATCAAAATCGAGTTTTATGTAAATTTTTGTTGACCACATTTATGTTAAAAATATCTAATTCAGATTCTTGTTTAATAACTGAAGTTCTATTTTTGTCGACTATACACATATGTAATAAAAAAATCTTTTAGAGTATAAACAATATAAAATATCTTTTTTTTGATAATTTTTTAAAAACATAGATATTTCGCATTATCGTTCTAAAATTACAATCGATTAAAAACGTTTTTTTATTCACGCTGCAAATGATTCTTCATTCATTAATACGAGTTTCAAGTCACGAAAAAAAAAAATTACAGTTTCGAAAGTCGACACTTTTTTGAGTTTCGAGCAATTCAGCCCTAGAAAATGAGTCGAATACTTACAACATCTCTGTATATCACAGCTCTTAAGCGATTCACGTCCATATCCTGCAGTAATTTCTCTGGATCTTTTACAGGGCTTAATTGATGTGCCAGATTATCCACAATGTTCTACAAAAATAGAAACGACACTTTATCGAAGACTTCATTCGCATACGGAAATGTTAACGAATCGCAGTGAACGCTATTTCTCTATACGATATACGGCTTCGAGTAAGTACATGATATGTAACTTGTCAATATATCGACGACGATAAACACATTTCTCTCTCTCTATATATATATATATAAAATAAAGTTCGATCAGATGAGACATACCTTGGGTGATGTTTGAGCTCCACGTATAAGAGACTGTATGTGCTGTGATTTATTACTAGAACCAATCTGCCGACCTAACATGCTGTACGATCTGCCACGTTCTTTACACTCTAAGCAGTTTCTAACGGCACATGTACAGACCTATAGAAGCATTTCATCAGATGAATATAAACAAAAGAAAAGTATATATAGTGTAAAACATACGGTGTTGAAGTTCTAATGTTATACATTTATCTATCAATATTAGAACTAAAGATATTACGGCTATTCAACACACTGCTGATTTCACTATTTCTATCTGACAAGAGTTATAAACTACGACAGTGTCGGTGGGTGTGTGTCGCCTCTGATTTTCTTCGTGTGAAATCTTCTTATATTACTTCACGGTGTTTCTTTTTCTTTCAGGGGATTATTAAATTATTTTGCTTTCGATTTTCGATCGGAACACGTGATGCATTAGACTTTTATGTAGCTATGACACTATGAAACACCAATATACACATAAAAGAAATTAATACGAAGCACACTCTATGTATGATTGTCGTTCTATCAAACTTCGTCTTTCTCTAAATACATTGAAATCACTGAAAGACGAAGTTCATTTTGCTCGCATAATTACAGCGTAACGTAACAAATCTCGTTTTGTCAGAATGTGCACCGAAGCAACAAGGGTCTAACAAGTGTGCATCGCAAACACACTCAATATCGGTCGTTTTCAAACAATGCTTCGACATTCTACGACACCAAAAACGAATCAATCCGATCGACTATACGTAAACATTGTCGCAAAGAACGAGCGTGTCTCGCTCGAAACTTCGATGTTACACAAACGGTGTGGTATACAACGGTATATGATGTGTCTGTCTGAGAAAAAACGGAAGATACTACGTGGACGATAAATACAAACCAGTCGTAAACACTGCCTTAGAATACCGCCACTAGACATATTCTTCTCGGCCTCCAGTTCACCGAAATTTAAAGAGCTGGCGAAGATAAGTACATCAGCCATGTTGACTAGTCTTTGCAGAAAAGAAACCGCTACCTCAATTGGCATCCCCTGAGTTGGTTCAATTACATCCAATTCGCTCTATGAATATATCCAAGCACCAATTAAAAAAAGGAACTTGGTGAAAAAAGGAAAACTTTCCACCGGGATATACACGCTCTTCTATGTGAAATCACGAGGAGGTATGGGGAGATATGGTTGTACGTACATTTGGCGAGGTCGCCGATGCTAGAAGCGGCAACAATCCTCCGCAGGCGATTATCAGATTGTCAGCCAGTTGCGATATCAAATGAACGGTATTAACAACGAAAATTGCGTTCTCGCTGCTGTTTACAAAGTCCAACACTGACTTTGTCGAGTGACTAGAAAACAATAGGATCAATCGTGTGTAAATAAATAATAAATCGTGTTGCGTTGTAAATTTATGATCACATTGGCTCGAGTAATAAATTCATTCATCTTCTCGTTACTAGCCATTCCATTCGAACGTTTGTTAATAATTTTCGAAGAAAATTTCAATGGAATTGTATCGCTCGAGCCAATATGCATAATAGTAGATAACAGGGTTGGATATATATATATTTTTTTATACCTTCTCCAGACTTGAATGTCTGTCTCTAACGAGAAGAGGACATCCGAGAGTAACCTCTGATGTATGTAAGACCATTTGAATTCTGGTATTCTGAAAGGTGGTCGAGTCGGGCCTGGACTGAACATTGGTCTCGTGGAAGGATTACCTTGCTTCGATCGTTTCGATTCTGGACATGAACGTTCACATTAACGATCAATTATCAATTGAAAGGGAAATTCGAGAGTTATTTACTCACCGAAATGATTGGGATCCACTTGCGTGGACGTTGAGGCACTCCTTGGTCGTTTCTGAGGTGACGATGTTTTACGCAAGGGTACGGGTAAAGAAGGAGGTTCGTTACTGTTTAGATTATCGTCGGTGGTTGTCTCGGTGGATACAGCCGGCAAGCTGGATCTGCGATGGGCGTCTACGTGATCCGGAGTTAAGTCATTCAACAACGAATTATCCCTCGCAACCACTGTTGAACTAACGATTTGAGGCACACCGTCGGGCATATTTTTATTTGCATCACAGACCGTAGATATTGTTGGAATTTGCTGTTTAGGATTTGGCACTTGCGTCGCGTTATCTACAGAACTTTGAATATCGCTATTACTACAAACACTATTATCTGTTACCTCTACCACCGCTTCAGTCCTCACCGGAGTGTCTGGCTGATTATCACTTACGTTAGTAGAAATAGTGGACGGCTCCCTTGAATGTTTATCATTTGTTACCTTCTCCCCGTTATCATTAATAACAGCACTTTTGTCCTCTGTTACAGAGTCCACGGCGCATCTCTCACTACACAACTCACTAGTCACTACTGTCTCCGCTTTCTCCTCTTCTACGTCTTCTACCTTCTTCTCACCGGTCTCGATACTTTCTATTACGCTAGTTGAGCAATTGGAATTCTTCACCGTTTCCTCGCCTCCCTTGTTCACGTTCTCGTTCACCGTATCCTCAACGTCAACACTCGTCTTCTTCGTCTGTTCAACGTCCACGTTGACAACATTCTCGTCCATCTTGTCCATCTCCTTCGACTTCATATCGCCCAAATTGTCCTGGTTCTCCGTCGGTGTCAAGTACGCCTCTGAGGTGTCGCTGTCGATCACTTCCCGATCGTTCTCCAGTTGTAGCTTCTCGATGTCCTTGATGATCAGCGGCTCTGACGTCTCGCTGGAGGAAACAGGCGACACTGGCCCCGAATCCATTTGCTCCGTTTGAACAACAACCGAGTCCGCCGAGCCTTCCTCCGTCTGCTGTTCCGTTTCCTCCGACGTCTCCACCCTGTCCGAGGGAATCTCATCGTTGGGAGTTGTTTGAACTTTTTCATCTTCCACCGTCGATTTCACTTCGCCGTTCGTCGTCTCTTCGATCTCCTTCGCAGGAGCTGCAGCTTCGGTCTCGACGTCAGCTGCGGTCTCAGCTGCGGCTTCCACCTTGGTTTCAGCCTCAACCACAGCCTCTGCCTCGGTTTCCACCTCAGCGTCGACCACGGCTTCGGCCTCGACCTCGCCTTCAGCCTCGCAGCTCTCGTCGTCCTGCGATTTCTGCACGTTCGAACCGGCGGCGTCAGGCACGTCCGTCTTCTCCTCAGACATCGTTACCTCTGTCTGTTCGATATCTTCCTGCTTCGTCTCTACACTCTCCGTCTCTCTCTTTTCAACGGCAGACGATTGCGAGACGGTCGTCTCGTCCTGCGACTTCGGCTCCGAAGGATCGTCGTCCTTCTTCAAGTGCACATCCTGCGCCACCACCAGCGAGTCCGGACTGGAACCTTCGATCTTGTGCACCTCGCTGTAGAAATCGCTGGAGCTCTCTATCGATATCGCCTCGCTGGTCTCCTGGGTCGTCGGGATGGAGACAGCCTCGCTGTTTCCCTCCTCGAGGATCGTCGGCGTGTCCGTGTGGATCTCGCGCGCTGTCGTCGGTGTTTCCGGCTTGTCGCTCAGCCTCGAGTCGAGAGATATCGCCTCGCTCGACTGAGCAGTGTCCAGGGTCTCGCTGTGCGACTTGACGATCGCTGGACTCCCGTCGCTCTCCGTGTTGTCTATCGAGTTCAGGTCGCAGCTGCACGACTCTTCCAAACGGTCGTTGCCCTCGGTCGCGTCGAACTCCTGGAAATTGAGTATCCTCGATTGGTGTTTATGGTATTATTGGTATTATATTGGTATTATATTGGTGTTACGCGAACGAGGTGTGATCTCTATAGCTTTCACAAACAACCTTGTAATTCCTCTCCACGTGTTGCACGTCGTGATTCTGTTGATTGCCCCAGGGTGACGGTTTGTTGTAGCCGTTGTTCCCCGAATGTTGCTGATCCCAACCGGAGATGGTGCTGATCGGCCTCTGCTGCCTCAGCTCGGGATCGGTGATGTTGTCTGATCGTTGTCTCTCGTAGTGTTCGTACATTTGAGCGAACTGAAGCTTGAATTCCTCGTAGGATACCTGAAAGTGAGAGGGAACACGAACATGAACGTACAGACGCAGTTAGTATTTCTCGGATTTTGTCCCCCGTTTGTTTAATTATTTATTACAATAAATTAATCATTTAATTCTGGATTTATAACAATTACTTTAAATCGTTGATAATTATTCCATTTTCAAGAATATTTCGGAGATGAAATTTAATTATTTATTAGATAGATATATTAATAATATTTATAATCTTTACGAAAAGTGCACAATTTCCATGTTTCGTTTGATTATTAATAGCAATGATTAGCTCCAGTTTCGTCATTAGTTCATTCATCAACATTGATTACTGCAGGAATTCATTTGAAAATTTATTAAATATAAATAATATAAAACTTTCATTTTATTATTTTCTAGAATAACAATATTAATTTCTCGATTGATGGCTAACTTTGAAATGGATTTTAAAAAAATTATTGCTTTATCCACGTTGAGTCAATTGGGATTTATATTAAGATATTTTATCTTTAGGATGAATTAGCTTCTCTTCACATTTATTTATTCATGCTTTATTTAAATCTACAATATTTATACGTGTTGGTAGATTTATTCATCATATAAAAGGTAAATTTTCGTCTTTATAAAGGAATATATTATATTTATCCATTTGAAAGAGTAATGCTCCAATGGGCTTACCTTGGAGTGCACGATGGCTAGAGTGTCCACCCACACTCGCCATCCACCGTACTCGTGCTTAATAGCATGGTGCAGAAGCATGCGAAACAACGAGTACACCATGTCCGAGATCTTTTGCTCTTCCGTGTTCTTCGGGTGAATGTAGGCCATGGCTATCAGCCATTCCTGCCATACAGACATCTGCAGAACAGTTCGCCGATTCTCTCGATTGTTGTTGCACAGCAATGTCATATCCGAGAGGAACAGCTTCTTCACCTCGAGCAGTTGCTCCGTTTGCTTTGATTGTCTAATTAACGTCGCCACCACCTTCAGAATCACTGCAACACGACGCATCATGTAGCTAATTGCCCTACATTTCTACTCAGATTTATGTTAACCCTTTGGCTACTGTTGGCGCGTAAAGGCGCTTGAAAAATAAAACTAAAGGCGCCTACAATTATACATTTAATAAAACAAATTTCTAAACAAAAATACAGCTCGAGTAGACCATATCTGTGTAAATCGAAAAGTAAAAATACTGACGACGAGCCTTTTCCTTGCTCAAAAATGCGGAGGCACAGTGTGTTGGACAACATAACAGAAGAAGGATCATGTTTCGAATTGTACCGCTTTCACTTTACTAGATTGTTAGATATATTATGAAACAAAGCTTAAAGTTACTGTTAGACTTTTAGCACGTGCGCTGACAATTCAATGACGGAATCAATACGGAATGAATAAATAATTTTGGTTTAACGTGATGCTTCGATTATCTCAATATATTTTCTGCGACATGCACGCTGACGAAAAGTTACATATGCACGTATGCTACCTACACCACGGTAGCGAAAGGGTTGATTGATTCAACGAAATTCAATGAAACGTCTTACTTGGATTTTCTAGACGATAATGGGACTCTGGTTCGGGGTGTCTGGCATAGAGGATCTGTTGACTGATGTGTTCTGTCATGATCTAAAAAGGATGTTTCGCATTAGAATAACGTTCAAACCAGCAACGTAGCGATAATGTGTTTTCCTCTTTCTCGAGACGAGTACCTCGTACAAAACATTATAGGTTGGTAGTGACAATGTCTCCTCGTTCAACAGTAATCTCTCGGCCAGTAACGTGTACAGATTGTGAGGGCTCATAACGTCGTATTTTCGTCTGCAACCGACGGAGATTATTCTCGGTAAGTCGGTCGAACGAACGTCTCGTTGCCTTACATTTACTTACTTGTCGAATTCGTCTACGTACTTGTGTGTACTGCGACTCAAAAAGAACCCCAGCAACTTCAACGCTTGTAAACGAATTAACTGGCTCTCCGCCGCTAGTAATTTGAATATCGTTCTGACGCCCTGCTTCGCGTCGAAAGCCGGCACCATCGACGATGGATGCTCCGACATCAACGATATGAGCATTTGCAAAACGTCGTGCAAATTTTCGTCCTGCGGAAACACACGTACCACATCACTCTTCGCGATCGTATCCATCCAGATCCAATGTAATTAATTTAGAGAACGTTATTGTAAATTAATCTTTCACTTCTTTTTAATCGACGCGATTTCACGCGAATCATCGTACCTCGTGTATTGTCGTCAGGTAATTGAGAATACTCTGCAGCTCGTCGTCCTTCACTCCATTCCCGATCATGATCAATTGTTTGAGAAATAACAAAATATAAGAACGTATTGTCAAAATATCCTTCTGTTGAGGTCGCGGTCCATCTGCAAGTCGATCGAAAATCCCAGGTCAATACAACTCTTCGAGGATCCATCGCGGAAGAATATGAGCCGTTTATTTTGAAAGTGGTCCACTTTCCAAAAGATATCAAGCTGGCTGCTTTAATATTTACATTTCTACATTATCTTTTCGATATATTTAAAGTTATTAAGATTTTGTACGCAGAAAATTAGCTGGTTAATAGAGTGATGAAAATTTTTATTTTGAAAATGGCTCGAGTCTCATCTTATGAAGTGCATTATGCAGTAAAATTTTATGAGATAAGAGCTATGTTTTTTGTTATTAACGTAGTAGCGTTAGATTAGCTCAGATAGTTATTTTTCAAACAATAACTAAACCTCTGGAGGACGTTTCTAGAAAGTTTAGGTTAGATTTAATAATATCGAATTGACACCACTGTACAAAAATGTAAGATTATAATCGCAACAATATAATGGATTTATTACGTTATATACCATCTGTATACAGCACAATTATTTTATACCTCTGTATTTGTATACACAAATTGGAAAAGAATGAATTATAAATTACGAAATATTATTTGAATGCAACATTTCTTTAATAATGAATAAAACTTGGATATTTTCTCATTTTATAACACAAAACTGTATATATAAATTACGAAATATTGTTTGAATGTAACATTTCTTTAATAGTGAATAAAAGTTGTATATTTCTTAATTTTATAACACAAAACTATACATGTATATCTTTTTTATTTTAAGGAAATTTTATTTTTTTCAAGGGACCCGTGCCTTTTTAAAAATTAAAAAAGTTATTTCATTAATTTTTAAGTAGCTTGAGTCCATTTGTAGCCATCAAAAATGTTTTATTTTCTAAACAATGTTTGTCGTACTAATTGCGTTGGTAAATTACACACCCTTAGAAATACAAAATTATAGTACCGTGTCATTAGTTGCCAATATTTCTAAAATTTCATCAAAACGCAAATGCATTGAATATCTTGATTTAAAGACAAATGGACCCAAACCTAACCCAACCATTGAATATCTTGATTTAAAGACAAACAGACTTGAGCCACTTTCGAAATAAACGGCTCGCATAGTGATCAAAGTGCGCGTTCCGATCGCAATTCCTCACCAAGTCCTTTGGGAGTGATTCCACTCTTGGCTCGCGGATTGGCAACCCAGTAATAGTATTTGAGCGTGTGCACCGTTTGCAACACCGTGGACACTCTTCTCACGTTCGAATATATCTGCGTGTCGCTGAGGAACTCTGTGGCCAAGTACGAATAAAGCCGCGTTTGCACCGGCGCCGGTGTATAAATCCACAGAGCGGGATTAAAAAGGACGTGGTCCAATAGCTGCCATGTTAGGAATGAAAAGTAAAACAACTACATCACCATGGATCTGCCTGTTCTTCGGACACACCAATCTAGCCGACTTTTATTGCGTTCCTACATGGTATTTCGTGGTCCACCTGCCTCGCGGCAGGCTCTCCCCAATTCCGTGGACGCACGTGGACAGAATGAGTCGAGTTAATGGGGTAAGTTGGTAATAAATTCGTTCGGAATGGGGTAGATTCAAAGTGGGAGTTCGACACTTAGAATTGTGCAAGGGGATAGTAGATTATCGTAAGATGGAAAGATGCACACAGGAGTGAGTTTGAAAACAAGAGAAAGAGAAAGAGAAAGAGAAAGAGAATGTGTGTGTGCCGGTAAATTTATCGTAACAGTTCACGATCACATTGTCACACAGAGAGAGAGAGAGAGAGAGAGAGAGAGAAAGAGAAAGAGAGAGAGACAGATCGAGGAGAGAAGAGATGATAATTCATGTCGGACATATTCATGCACCTCAGAGAAATCAATACTCAGAATTCGGTAGCTTCGGTGGCAATATTGAGACAATATGTTTTTTGCTTGCTATATATAAATTTCGATCAATTTTCCTTTTTGTTTTTCCAATTTTTTCGTACTTTCTTCTTTCTTTTTCGCTTTCGTGACCTTTCGCGCCGCGAAAAGAAGGATTTAGACAGTCCCAATATTTGAAACGCAGTGCGCATAGAAAAGAAAATGAACGAGACAGCTTATGTTGTTACGAAGGCGATAGGCGATCCTTGACAGGAGGAGTACGGAAGCGAACTATCGTCGGGACGAACACAGTTCGTGACAGCGCCGTTTCGAAACAGAAACTCCGACAGAGAGAATCGGTCAGACAGCAAATAGAGAAGTGATCGTGATCTCGGTCAGCGTTGCAAAAAAACAATGCAAGAGTGACAAGATATACTCTCGTATAGAAGCAAACGTTTAGTGTGAACAAAAATATATAGTCTTGCGCAGCGATGTTACGAAATCAGGAAGCCTAAAAGTCGGTAGATTGCATGCGATCCAAAGATTCGAGTAGCAGAACGTCGTCTCCGTAAGGAAAAGTATAACTTATGCATGCTTGAGATTGTGATGCATCGTGTGTGTCTGTGTGTGTGTGTGTAAAAATATGTACATAAACACGTTTAACAGCATATAATATACAGAGCAGTCTACGAGCAATTTCTATCGTACAAGCTATTGCAACAGATACTGTTACATCGAGTTATAAATAATTTCCGTAAAGGTCCAAATAAATTATTATTTAAAGGTTTATTTCAACCTTTCAGTGATATATTAAAATTATTTTTTTTTTTAAATATTTTATTTAAGACTAAATAAAATATTTTGTTATAGACTAATATTTATACTTTTTGTATCATCAATATTATGATACAATTTATCCACGAATTTGTAATAATATAAATATAATTTGTAGAACAATTTTTATATTATTTATTACAAGATTAAATCTTAATTATTAGATGAATTTCAACAAATAATTATTCAGTATATTCAGTATATTCAGTAATAAACTGATAAATGATAACAAGTGATTGCAAATATATATCGCAGATTATATTCTATTAATGATAATAGTAATATCAAGAGTTGCTTTCTTGACTTTATTTGAACGAAAAAATTTTGAGATATATGCAATATCGTAAAGGTCCAAATAAATTATTATTTAAAGATTTATTTCAACCTTTCAGTGATATATTAAAATTATTTTTTTAAAAAATATATTATTTAAGACTAAATAAAATATTTTGTTATAGACCAATATTTATATTTTTTGTATCATCAATATTATGATACAATTTATCCACGAATTTATAAATATAATTTGTAGAACAATTTTTATATTATTTATTATAAGATTAAATCTTAATTATTAGATGAATTTCAACAAATAATTATTCAGCATTAGGAATAATACGTTTAATTTCTCAAATAATTTCATTTGAAGTTTTAATATTTTTAGATAGGATGTAATTGTTATAATTTCGTTGATAAACAAAGTTGTTTCGCTGAAACGGAAATTATTTACGACTCAGCCCAATGTGTGTGTGGAGTAAATATAAAAGAGTGAAGTATAATACGCTAGAACTCTGGGTATTTTCGTGGGTATTTTTGTCATTCATGCTATTGTGTATTGTAACGAAAGGAGGAAGACTGGAGTGCGGGAAAAGTTGTTGCGCGAATGCATCGCAACGTACGAAGTTTTCACGGGAGAATTGGCTAGAATGTTTGGCTAGAATTGTCGGAGATACAAACCCTAATGACGCAGTGTGATTTTTCTAATTATGAGAGAGTGACCGTGTCTCGTACAGATGCTTCAACTCAATTTCATTATTAATATATACACTACGTATTAATATGTCGTTACAATATATTATATATTAATAAAATTAATTAATATATTAATATATTACGTATTATATATACTGTATATGTAATACTTAGGATTACGTTGGTTAAAATAATTCATCCTATAAAAACAGAAATCAACAATTATCCCAATTTTACTCTCAAAGGTTAGTCGAAGATTAGTTTACTCTCAAAGATGGTTCAACGTTGTTATTTCATAATTGCCACACAAGTTGCACGAATTATTTCAACCAAATGTTCGACAAACGACGTGTTATTCACGTAGAACATTCACGATGAGAACGTTGTACATTCTCGTCTACTTTTCGTGCAAGCTAAGCTCGTGTTCGTGGATCTACGTGAAAACGAAAACCGGTCGATCCGCCGGATTTCCATCGACAGTGTTCGACGAATTCTCTACCACTCGTCATATTCAAGTTAACGTCTAATCACTCTTACTGTCTTGGCTCTAATTTAACTCTAACTCGTACGAGGACCGAACTAATGACTGAATCGATACCTGTTTCAATAACAAGTCGCTGTTGGCGCTGAGGCAGGTGACCAGGTGTTTCGTCAGCTCCAAAAACGACGCGAGAACCTCCGTTGTCAGATGATCCCTGCTCGCTCTCTGCAGCATATAGCTGATCACCAGGAATCCACGGTTCTGCACCATGTGTTGCTGAACGGTTTGCGAACTCTCCACCAAGTCGCAAATAAACCCCAACAGTTTCGAACTAAAATACAACTTGTCCCATTACGCGCGGCCACGAGGGGAAAATCTTAACGTAAACAGTTACCCTCCCTCATTCGCCCACAACCGCCCATATGGATAATTACCATAACGTTGGATCTCGTTTAACGTCGTTTGGCGCTATGCAATCGTAAGGCATATCTAGCTGCGAGAACAAAGGGAACAACACTTGAATACCACCAATCGAGTTCAACGTGCTGTGAATGGAATGCGTGATGACAGCCTTAACATCCTGCAAATAAACAGTGAAACGTTCGATCTCGTCTGGTTCTCTGCTTCTGGCCGATGTCCGACATTCGAGAAAATTGCCAATTGACAAAAAAGTATATCGGGACGGCGTTTTGAATATCGCTCGCGTCGTAGAATGACGTAAGACGTAGACTTGGATCAACAAAATTCTCGAAATACAGTTTTATGCCATATAAATTTGCAAAAGAATTCCAACTGAGGTTGGAATTTTGAAGGGAAATTTTAATTATCCCCCGCAGAGGAAAGAAGAAGATGTCATTAACCCCTTGTCTTATAACGTCGAGTCGTACTCGTGGCACAAGTTTCAATTTGTAAGGAAAAGCAAATTTCAATTCGAATTTTAATGGGCCTTTGCCCTTGAAACAACTTCTTTTGCATCATCTACCAGTAATTTATTTACGAAGCATCGCTTCAGATAAAATGAAAGCATTCAAATGGTCAAATTCAACGCGAAATTTTGTTGATTATATCTTTCTGATGTGTAATTTTAATATATAATTTAAAGCAATCATCAATGTGCACTGCAGATTTGCTAGAGTACAAGTATAACGTACAAGAGTTAGTGATACCTAAACAGTAAATGTCAATCTCTGAAAAAAAAATAACATCCTCCATCATTTTTTAAATTTTCGTACGAAGTGAATAAGAAATTCAGTTTATGTAAATTATTCCGAATTGTGTGAATTATCGAATGTCAATTGACTCAGGACTGTCTTCAGAAATTTCTTTTTTTTTTATGTCGTTGTGTGTATAATTTGAGAAATTGAATGAAATTCTAATCAGGAGTAATACTTTCGTACTCAAATGAATAGTTATTTCGAGTAATATCTAAAAAATATGATAACAGGTATTTAGTTGATCATTTTTTAAATTATTTGAATGACGATCAAACTTGGTTCACTTCGATACAAACAACTCTGTTTAAAAGTATATCGTGATTATTTAACAATTGGTTTAGATATTAGATATAGAGAATAGTTATAAAATAAAATAAAATATATAAAATAGAATAAAATACAAAATAAAATAAAATAAAATATATAAAATAGAATGAAACACAAAATAAAATAAAATATAAAATAAAATAAAATAAAATATATAAAATAGAATAAAATAAAATATATAAAATAGAATAAAATATAAAATAAAATATATAAAATAGAATAAAATATAAAATAAAATATATAAAATAGAATAAAATATAAAATAAAATATATAAAATAGAATAAAATATAAAATAAAATATATAAAATAGAATAAAATATAAAATAAAATATATAAAATAGAATAAAATATAAAATAAAATATATAAAATAGAATAAAATATAAAATAAAATATAAAATAAAATAAAATAAAATATATAAAATAAAATAAAATAAAATAAAATAAAATAAAATAAAATATTCGAAGATCAAATAACAGTTTACGGAGAATAACGAGTATTGATTTACGCAGCAAGGAATCTGCATATATATAAATATATGTAATGTTTCGTTATTTTCGAATATCTCGATATCTAAAATGACGTTACAATTTCAATAAGTAACGAGCTCGCCTCAACGATGGAGAAGAAAATCACAAGACAAGAGGTTAATAAATATTTGCAAAATCGAAGAGTAGCTAGAAGGAAACAAAGTTCCTCCGAGCGTTCTATTTTTCGTTGAATTATACGTGTAACATTCGATATCGTACCTGCAGCATAAGGGCGTGCGGCGTATGTACAAAATAGGAGACGTTGCCTTTCGGTGCGCTTTGCAAACAAAGTTGAGAATCCGTTGCTACCGGGTTGTACATGAACACAATCGCGTTCGACAGCTTGCCATCGTAGAGCACCTACAAAGTGGCATTGTTAATATTGCCGGCACATATGTTTCCCCCGATTGCGCGTTTTAAATTCATTCCGCTACGATCAGGTCATGATCGATCTTTGAAAGTTTACCAAGTAGAAACATCAGGCATTATTGCCCGAGAGAAACTTATCGCGCGACACGAGCATGCGTGTGATACATTGTAGAAAAGTAAACTTTCAAAGTGAGCTCTCAACAACTACTGAAACCGACGTCTACATGTTACATGTGACAAACGTGCTACCACAACACAAATGAAACTGAACGTGACTTCTAATTCGGATAATGGGCTAGGTGTTAAATTTTCAGAAATACATATGTATACGAGTTTACGAACTCAAGATCTCGGTCACCCAATTAATTCCCACTAACCAGATCGCGGATATTTGTGCAATTTCGCGCACCAAATTTTTATATATTTAATACACATTTATGTATATTTTATACATATTAGTATACATTTATGTATAGTACATTATTTAATATTTTATATTTTATATACATATTGGTACGTCCACGCGTAACGCATAAATATCCACGGTCCATTGGAGAAACACTACTCAAAGTACAACAGCTAAAATTGTAGTATGTCGGTACAATCTACAATCACGTACTACCACATCACAAATGAAACTGAACGTGACTTCTAGTCCGGATAATGGGCTAGATATTAAATTTTCAGAAATATATATATATATACGAGTTTACGAACTCAAGATCTCGGTCACTTAATAAATTTCCACTAACCAGACCGCGGATATTTGTGCAATTTTGCGCACCAAATTTTTATATATTTAATACACATTTATGCATATTTTATACATATTAATATACATTTATGTATAGTACATTATTTAATATTTTATATTTTATACATATTGGTACGTCCACGCGTAACGCATAAATATCCACGGTCCATTGGAGAAGCACTACTCAAAGTACAACAGCTAAAACTGTACTATGTCGGTACAATCTACAATCAATTGGGAAAACTCTTTCGCTACATGTAAAAGACACACATCACAGCAAAAAAAATGATGGAACACAGACAGGGTTTATCAAAAGTAACACAACTCAATTCAACTTCTCAATAGAGGCTGTAAATTAATCAGGATATTGCTACGTTTCTCAGGCAAGGAAGCGTCAGGCGAAACGGAAAAATGGTGGCTCGTACTCGAGTAACGAGTCGCGTGCACGCTGGTAAACTAAAAAAAAAAAAAAAAAAAAAAAAGGGGGAGGAAAAAAAAAAAAAAAAAAACAAAAAAAAAAAAAAAAGAACAGGGGGAGGAAAGAGAAACGAAAAGATCCACAAAATAAAAAGCAAGTTTGTGCAATCGATGGATACAAACGTTATGACGTTGCATCAACGTCCGACCGAACGTCGCGCACAGGGCACTGGGAAAAAGATATTCGTAGTGATGGTCGATAATTCGGGGGGAAGTAATTACCTCTGACGAGACTCGAACGCAGTAACAGAGTGATTAAACAATGTGCAAATCAAATGTAAACGGGAGGAAATGAAAATAAAAATGCTTACAGTCTGCATACTTTGGTCCACCATGCTCGTGAGCTCCGGCTCATCACTCACCCTTTTGTGATTGTCAGGCAGATTCAGGTAGCACTCGTTGTCAAAACGAAACTGACTCTGCGAACAGAACGCGGAAAGGGGGAACACGGACCATGTTGAATATGTAATGATTCTACGGCGGGCTGCCGCGAAGCTTTTTCGCGAAGAAAATGGAGAAATTGTCACAGAAAATTCAAGACCGGGGACACGCAAAAGGGGAGAACTCCATTTCTTTTAAATTATAATTCGCTTTTACATGTTTCTCGACATTTTCAAATATCAGAGCGTAAATTTTGTTTAAGAAGAAAAAAAAAAAAAAAAGAGAGAGAAGAGGATAGCTCGCATCTAATTAGAATACGCGGGAGATAGTCATAATTACGAAGGGGAAAGAGACGTTTCAAAACGGACAGAAAAGATTTTACCTTATATCCAGGCCCCAGTCTATGCATAGCGCATATCTGATGCGTCGTCAGGGCTTCGCTGAACAGATAAATCGCGCTCATTTGTCCGCAAAACACGCGCTCTTCGTCCAGTTCCGGTGTTGCCCCGATGTAACATTTGTCAAAGGGCTGCAAAGAGTTGTTCATTTTTTTTTTTTTTTTTTTTTTTGTTTCTCGATTTCGAACGAAACCCACGGTTTCACAGCCAGAGGACCGTGATACCAGCACGGCTGTGAAATTAATAGGCGCAATTATGTTACGAGTATGTGAAATTCACTTACGTCGTTTGTCGAAACGAACCACGCCATTTCAGTGCTCGAAGCCAATTGACCGTTGACCAAACATTTAATCTCGCTCTTCGTCCACCTATTGTATATGTACACTACGGCGATCATGTACCACTGTGAAAAAATAAACGTTATCGATTCTGTTGGAGATGAAAACAAATTCTTCGTTATGCTATTTTGAAGCTCGTGTCCCATTTTAATATATTCATCGTGACGATCTGGACCAAAAATAGTGGACTTTTGTATAATTGATCTTTTCGTTATAGCTGTATTGGTATATGTTTCGAATTATTAAGTAGAATATCTCTATCGTCAGACAAGTCTCCATTATATATACTTGAAATAATTCCTACTTGCTTGTCATAAATTTCTAATTGAATGATACAAAAATTGCAAGTAATATTTACGTTACATGTTAATAAATAATTTAAAACAATAAATAATAATATAGAGCAATAATAATGAATAAATAGAATACAACATCCCTATCGTCAGACAAGTCTTATTCCACTTCAAGTAACTCTTACTTGCTTGTCATAAAATTCGTCACGAATTACATTACTTTTTATCTAATTAGTGAAGAAATTACAGAGATAGTGCTAAAATTTCACACTGATAAATTATTTAGAGCAATAATAATAAATTGTCCCTATCGTCGGACAAGTCTCATTCCACTTAAAGTAATTCCAACTTGCTTGTCACAAAATTCGTACGAATTGTATTATTTCTTATCTAATTGAATAATACAGAAACTGCAAGTATTATTTACACATTGACAAATAATTTGGAGCAACAAATAATAATAGTAGAACATCCCTATCGTTAGATAAATTTCCATTTAAAGCAACTCCCATTTGCTCGTCATAAAATTCGTTACAAGTTACACTACTTCTTATTTAATTGGCAAAGAAACTACTAACGAAACTGCAAAGAAAATGCTGCACGTTACACGTTAATTAACAATTTAGAAGCGAACGAGTTAAATAATAAATCCTAATGTTGATGTTTCAAGTTACACACGGGACAATTTCTTTTTTTCTATACAATACACGCGCCGCAAGTAAATTAACATAGAAGTACAAGCGGCGTCGTACCTTACGTGGTTGAAATTCATATTTGACACAATGCTGGAAGCCCTTGCCCTTCACCTTCATCGACGTGAGGACCAAGCAGTTCCCTACGAAGTGCGCCGAGTAGCCCACTCCCTTGCTAGTTTTGAAACTGCGAACAGAGACGAATCGTCGGCGATCAGCGAACGTCGATAAAAACTCATCGACGATCCTCTCGCCAACTCTCTGTCCAATCCCGAGCCTCTGTATTTCGTTCCTATCCCTCGGAATAACCATGTATTTCGTACAACGGGGGAACAACAGTTGTCGATCGTATGGAAATCGAATTGTTTCCGCGTGAAGGAATGCGATCAAATTGCTTCAGGATGCAACGCCCGAACGTTGGAATTCTTTCCTTTTTTCCTTCTTTTTTTTTTTTTTTTTTTGTGGATGCTTGAAAGAAAATGGGACTTGTTATTGAATGTACCTTAA